ATTCAGCCTGCAGGAATCGTCTGTATCACGCACTGTCATGTTTACACCCATATAGGGAAGTGTCTGAGCTGTAATACCGGCCGATTGTGGATGGAAAACTTGAAATCCAACAATTACCACCGAACAATGCAGGGGTCATAATTATGCTTATAATACATATGTTTTTGTCCTTTTGGAAATGACGTTACCTAGGTGCAAAAAACAGCAATTTCGTAACAAATTTAACTAAAATAGTTTTACAGCTAGGGTTAGCTCAGTAAAAATTCAATATTGCGTTAAAATAACATATTTAGACAAAAGCAAATACTGAATCTGACAGCAGAGATACTAAGGAGTGTAAAAACAAACTTTTCCAAAAATGGTCTACCTGACCCAAATTCACTGTTTGGAACACCCGCACATTGCTTTAAAAGATTTGCAATTACCTTTTTATTAGTAGTATTTGTTCTCTGCTGCTTGACAAAATAGTCATGTAGAGGTACATAAATATGTGAATTCTGTCATCTGTATACTGGACAAGCTTAAGTCTCCCCATAACACATCTGGCCCAATAAGATCTTCATCTGCTTCTCCTCTTGTGCTTACAAACAAATGTGAACATTGCTTGCTCATATGGGGTTAAATCAAACATCTTTAATGGACCCTTGTGTCAGAAGTCAGGGCTTGTGTTGTAGTTTTATCCTTCCTGATACTCTGATTAATATAGAGATGTTTGAATTTGTTCCAGCACCAAATCTCAAAATATATGTTACCAGTAATTGAACTACTGTGACGTTATCTTTTTATTAGTCAGTAAATGAAGTAAAGCTCTTTTAATACCTGGGAATCTTTATTCAGTACAAACAAATTTTTTGGATGTGACAAGTTTCTGTTGTTTATTCCATGCAATTTTTCTTACTTAACTGTTATCCAGATTATGGGAATTTCTGATAAGAAGAACTATTTCTAGGGTCCCCCATGAGTTCTTCTTAGCAGGTCTGCAGCGTGTTATTGTTTTATTATGCATGGTTTATTTGCTAAAGATGAATGTAGTAATGCTTTGTGATGTAATCCTTATGGTATTACACATACTGAAGTTCAGCTTTATGGCTGAGGTATTCAAGGATAAAACATTATTTTCCAGCCATGTCTGGCCTGCACATGTAAACATTTCAGTAATTGCTGCACACTTCAGACTTAAATGTAAGTGAATAAAATAAACCAAAGCTTTATTTATGAAGGATAAATAAAGTGGTGGTTTCCCCTGACCTTACACTGCCTTGTGTGTAACAAGTCCATTAACATTTGTCTTAGAGGGCATGCTCTGCAAGAAATCAGGCAAGAGAGGTTATGTTGAATGCCTGTTGTCCCTTGGTGTCAAAGAATCTTAGAGTTTTATTTTAGAAATACACACCTTCATTCAGTGATTTCCTGTTCGGTTGGTTAGTGGCCATTTATTCAGTATATTCACAGCTAACTTCTATATCTAACAACCACTACACTGCCACTCTGTGGATGCAGCTAGTATAAGAACAAGTCCACTGATTTATTGTCTTTGTACATTAAACAGGGTTCGTAGTGGACCGGGAAATTACCGGGATTTTTTTCGTTGACCTTAAACCGGGATTTTTAGCTTATAAAAGACATTCCGACCTTGAAAAGCCGTGAATTTTGACCGCGGCAATGAAATCGTCAGAAATCCTGTGTTTTTCAAGCACAGGCAATTTTGGGGGAGCCATTTGGCTTTTTTGGCCATTTGGCTAGTTTTTGGCTACTTTCGTTGTATGGTCGTTTCAGGTGTGAGGGCAGCTGATTATTGGCTATTTTCAGCCGAAATGGCTTGTTAAAGGCCAGGGGAGGGCGGGCTTTGTTACAGATCACGAATACATGCAGACAGCAGCAGTGTGGCATGGGGCGGGAAGGAGCAGCTTCCGTCTCGTGTGTGTGTGTGTGTGTGTGTGCCTTTGTTTCTAGCAAGTCGGGCAGAATGAACAGTTTAAATCGTTTATGGCCTTGGTTTCTAGAAAGGATTACATTGGGAGATGGTGGGGCTCGGTTCAGTTCTATTTATAAATAGAGTCGCCGTGGTGGGGCTAAGCACGGCCTTCTCTATTAATTAGAGATGGCATTGGGGCTAAGAAAAGTGACTGCAGCTGGATTTCCCAGTTCTATTTTTGGCCTGGATTTATCTTTACAGTGTGTTTGGCGATCAGTATTGTAATTCCCCGAGATTCCCTCTTCTGTTGTCTCACCCCTCTCTCTCTCTTCCCTCCCTCTTTCACTCTTCTACCTATTGCTCCTTCCTTCCCGTCTCCTGCATTGTCTCTAACCCTCCCTTCTGATCTTCATCTTCTTCTCTTTCTCTCTATCTTTCCTTTTACTCTCTCATTTACTGTCCCCCCTCCCCCTTTTTCCTATTTTATTTCTTGTTTAAATGTTTAGTAAATGTGCGGCTCCATAACTCTTCCTAGCAACTCAAGTACACAGGAAATTGTATTGGGGGGGGGGGGGGGGGGCATTCTGTGTGAACATGGTGGATATTTTCTTTTGATGTGTTTGTTTTCCTTGCGGCCTTAATCTCTGTCCATCTCCCTTCCCGCCCCCTCACATTTTGTCCTACCTGTTCCTCACTCTCTGCCTGTCTGTGTCACTGCTTACTTCTTTCTCTTTGTATTTGCCACTCTCTCTCTCTCTCTCTCTCTCTCTCTCTCTCTCTCTCTCTCTCTCTCTCTCTCTCTCTCTCTCTCTCTCTCTTTCTCTCTTTCTCCATACCTTCAGTTGGTGTAGAAGGTTATGTGTTGCCTAGTGCAGAACATTTCATGTCCACCATTCCCCCTCCCACACATTAAATATATGTGTACTTTTAAAAACATTTGCCGTCACCCCCCCCCCTCCCCTCCCTCCCTTTTTTTTCTCCTCCCACATTGATGACACCTAGGGGAGGGAGTGCACCCCTTCCTGCTACCTTCTTCCCTCTATATCTCATCTTATTTCTTACTCCCTTCTTTCTCTTCCTGTCTCATTCCCACTTTATTTTCTTAAACTTTATTCTCTCACCTCCTCTGTCTCACCCTTACCACCTCAGCCTTCTACACCACTTTCCACCACCTCCTCTCTCTCCTCCTTTCTGTAATTGGAAAACCAGAAATAAAACGAAGTCCACTGCTGCCCTGACCTATTTATGTGTCTGACCTATTTATGTGTGTGGGTAAACTTCTCTATTTTCCACCAGTGGTGGGTTGGGATCCCCTGGACTTTTATTTTCTTCATAAAATGACCTTGGCTCTCAGGTCACCAGCCTTAAGTGTAAGAAATTGAATTATTGTTGTCACACAAAGATAGGACAAGCAAGGGGCAGTAGGGGTTAGCACTGTTGTTTTTGGACCACGGCCACATTCACATTGGGAGAGGGTAGGAACCGGAAAAGTGGCCTCACTTAGAGATTTTCTAATTCTATTTTTGGCACTCATTATTCTTACACCCCCCCCCCACCCACCCCCACAACCGTGTCTTACCTTTCTTCTCTCACCCCTTCTCTTTCCTTTGATCTTCTACTATTCTCCTTTCTCTCTCCATTCTTCCTCTCTTCCTTTCCTTGCCCTTTCTCCTGTCCCATCTCTTCTTTGTCTCCTCTCCATCCTGTCTTTTCATTTTCTCTAGATTTCCTTACCCGCTCCCCTCTCCCCTCTCTCATTCCCCCCCCCCCCCATCATTTTTTTTAACTGGTTCATCTACGTATTTTTTTTGCCCCATAACTATCTTTCCCTAGTGGTTGTGTCCACTACACTTGAAATTGTGTGTGTAAAGGGGGGGGGGGGGAGTAGGTGGCTGTTTTTTTTCTTTGATGTATCTTGTCTCCCTTCCTGCCCCTCTCTCTTAATCTGTGTTTGTCACTGCCTTTCTTACCCACCTCTCTCTCTCTCTTGCTTTATGTCTGTTTGCCTCCCTTCATCACTTCCTCTTTGTATACCTCCCTCCCATTCTCCTGCTCTGCCTTTTTTCTCTTTCTTTGGTTCTCTCCCTCTGTCTGCTTGCCTCTCTGTGCTGTCCCTTTGTCTCTCTCTCTCCTTTATGTCTACATCTCTCTCTGCTTGCATCTGCTTCTCACCCTGTCCGTTCTCTCTCCCTCTGTCTCCCTTTTTTCAACTCTTTGTCATATTTTCCTCCTTCCATATCTCTATTTCGTTCCCTTTTTCCTTCTCTTTTCATATGCCCATCTCTGTATCTGCATTCCCTCTTTCTGTATTTTTTCCCTCTCTGTCTTTCGCTGTTCCTTCCCCACTTTTCCTCATCATGTCTCCATCCCTCCCTCTCATTTTTTCCTCCTTCCCCAGACTTCTTTTCCTTCTTTTCTCTACCTCCATCTGTCCATCTTTACACTGTCTCTCCCAGCCTACCTCAGCATGTGTCTTCCTCTCTCTTCATGACTCTCTCTCTCTCCCCTAACCCTCTCAGGTACCAGGTCCAGAACAGACAGGACTTCAGTTTGCTGCCCTCTACCACCAAGCCCTAAAAAAAATTTCAAACACTATATCAAGCTCAGGGGCCGACCAGCACGAAGATGGGCACAGGATATAAGTGACTCCTTGAGTATAAAAAAGTACATGAGGCGGGAGAGCTGGTGAGAGACCGAGGTTTTTTTGTCAGGACAAAGGAAATGCTACATGATGATGATATCTGTGCTGGTATACCAACACATGTGGCACAAATGAAGTACCTTGTGTGCTCAGTACACCCTTGAACAAGGCAAAAATCTTGTTTCAGTATTACACCGAGACAACCTTGAAAAAAACTAAGGAGACCTTGAAAAATACCTTGAAAAGCCTTGAAATTGATTGGTAAATTTGGCTATGAACCCTGATTAAACATATCATGAGATTTCTGGATGATGTCAGCAATATTTGAATCTTGTTTATGTAGGTATTAAGTAAGTTTGAGACTGCTTATGCATGCAAGCTAGGAGGAGGAGGGGTGTGTTGATACACCTTATGCTTTTTTAACACTGATGTGGTTTTCTGTAGTCAACAGCCATTGATGTCATGGCAATTGGTTTGGCTGATGGGCAGATCATTCTGCATAATTTGGCAGTGGACAAAACTGTGGCTAAATTCAAGCAAGAATATGGACCGGTCACTGTAATAGGATTCAGAACAGGTAAATTAATGTTTCTTTGATTCAGTTGTACAGCTTCAGGAACAATGAATACATTTACAAAGAGGTATAGTTGTAACTAGTGTGCATAAATTCTCACAATTATGGAACTCTTTTTTTTGAGCTATCCAAGCATGTTGCTACTGCCTCTTTGAGAACTTTTTCTGTGGTGAGGGAAGACAATAACTGATTGTAATTCTACATAGAAGTGTAGAAAACATCAAACCTATGGCAGTATTTGGGCTGGTGCAGTAAAGAGCCTATTTACTGTCTGGTGGGTACTATTCCTTTACCATACATGGCTCTAGACTGCTGTGGACAGCTGTTGTGAGGACAGGGTCACTATGAGGTGTTGTCATGGACAGACAATTGCAGAGGAAAGGTGTGCTAGAAGCTTCCTTTAATTTCTACAGCAGCAGCTTTGGTGGTCATCACTGCACCTTGGATGCGAGAGGCCATTTGCTTGGGTATCATCATCTGTGTATCTAGGCGTTCAGGACGCACACCCTACATAGAACCCATACTGTGGTGAAACCACTTGCTGTTTTTGCAGACTGCTTGAGAAAGTCATATGGATTTCGAGTAGTGTGATATGTTAGCATTTGTGGACTTTTCTTCCTAGCGTATATGATGAAACAATTACAAAGCATGTTTGGTTAGTACTGTTTCTGTGACTGTCTTCTCTTATCATCCTGACAAAGATTTTCATACTTTAAATGTGCATTCGTGGGTATGAGGTTACATATTTTTTGTTGTAAAAGTCATACTTTTTTGGAATTTGTACATGCTTCTTCAGTACATGCTTGTTAGGCTTCAATTTTGCTGGCGTTTTCTTGGAAACCATCAGTACTTTAGGAATTTAAATTTTGTGCAGCATATTAACAAGTATAATTGATTAAATATAGCTGTGTTGATTGTTCCTCTTATATAAGATGGCCATCCAATAATGGTGACGGGAAGCAGTGCCGGCCACATTGCATTGTGGAATTTGGAGAACAGAAAGTTACATAGTTACATGAAGGAGGCTCATTGTGCTTCAGTAACTGGTTTGGTTTGCTTGCCTTCGGAACCAATAATGGTTACATCAGCTGGAGATAATTCACTGAAGGTCTGTACATTTTCATTCAGCCATTTCCCTTCCTTTTTTTATGTCTTTCAAAAATGATTTCCCTCGCCAGTTGTTATACTGTGTCTGGACTGACAATAAAAGAGAATTCAAGACAGATGAAAAAGAAAACTCCTTTGATAGAGTCGACAGAAATATGTTGTGGGAATGTATGGGGAAAAGTCGAATTAACAATCAACTCATTAATATTTGCAAAAGCCTGTGCATAGCATAAGATTGAAGGCAGGATGGCAGTACTAAAGTGAATCTTATCAGAACTATTTTTGCGCCAACACTATGCTATCAGTGCCAAACTTCGACACTTACATTCTCCAATGAACGTAAAATTGTGACAACAGAGATGAAATGCCTTCGAAGAGCTGCAGGAGTTTCAAGGAAAGACAGAATACGAAATCAGACGATTCTAGGAATAAAGCCAGTCTTATAGGTCATCAAAGAGCAACAAATGAAGAGGTTTGGATACCTAACAAGAATGCCCTAGTACTATCTGCCACAGCGATCCACACTAAAACGTTAGAACAGGTATAGAGTGAGTGAAAGACTTTGGGAAACATGGAGTGATGGCATTAAGAACAGCCTTACAGAGATGAACATCAGTCTTAATAGTGCCTTTGACAGAGCTCATCAACGAACATTGAATTCATTGAGAATTATCATGAGAAGAATGAGGTGCAAAATTAAACCAGAAATTGAAAAGCAGTGTGGTTTGTTTGAAGGTAAAAGCACAAACAACGCCATATTTATCTTGAGAACACTTTCAGAAAGAATGATTGACATAAATAGAGATTTGTTTTTGTGCTTTATTGATTACACTAAAGCATTTGATAAAGTGAAACATGCAGAAACTATTAGAATTTTTGAAACCTTAAATGTTGACGGTTTAGAACTGAAAATAATAAATAACATATACTGTCAAGAAGCAGCCATAAAGATTGACAATCAAGCTGGAACTTTTCAAAACTTTAAACAAGGCATTAGACAGGGATGTGTACTATCACCACCCGATTTATTCAGTTTGTGCAGTGAAATAATAAATAGATCCATACATGGTATTCCAGGAATATTGGTTGGTGGGCATTTTGTTAACAGCCTCCGATATGCTGACGATATAGTTCTGATCTCTGAAAATAAAACACAGCTGCCAGAAATAATAGATATAATTGTAAGGAAAGTGAAAACAAGGGTTTTTGTTTGAACAGCAGAAAAACAGAAGTAATGATAATTACAAAAAAAAACTGTCCCTCAAAAATACAAAATGGTACAAACCTCAAGCAAGTTGATATGTTTAAGTACTTGGGTACCCTGATAACATCAAAGGGAAGATGTATTAAGAAAGTTGTGTGCCGAATAGCTCAAGCAAAGGCATTTTTCAAAATGAAGAATTTATGCAATCTTTCTTTGTCAAATTTCATGGAAGATAGATCCGTGTTAAATTTAAAACATGTTACTGTTCAAACTTTATACTTCCACTAATCGTGGCAATGGTAGGCATTATGACCACATACAAGTTCCAGAGCTGCCCCAGAAACGGTCCTAGTTTGAAGATTGGTCAAATACATTTAACAGTGTGACAAACAAAATGTAACTAAGATGTTTAATGGTCAAGCTGTTTGGAACCTGTGGATGGAGCTCCAGAAGATAATAACCTCTGCTTTTTTAAGGGGATATATAGCTCATGCGCCCACCTACGGTTAGAATGGTTATACGGCCACCTGTCTTACACTCAGCAGTGGGGTTACATATCTGGTACTCCTAAACTATAATGTAACTATAATGTACTTATCCATGCTCCAGGATATTCTCGTATGAATCAGTGATTCAATTAGAGATAGATAGATGAACAGCACAAAGCCAGCAAGTGGTGCATCTTCTCTGGAAGCTTAGTCAAGAATAAGTTCCCACCAAGCGTCTCTCCCAATATAGGCGGGAGGGGATTTATCCACATCCAAAGCATTAGTTAGGCTATTGGAATTTTGGCTTCACTACATTGAATCTCCCACCTAAGGTTTTTAATTCAAAACTGACTTTCCTAAGATAATTAGGATAGAATTGAGTACCTAACCTGACATGTAGACACATAATTACAAAAGAAGGACTATTTACATAAAGAGGAAAGTCAATTTTTCAAATAGACCTCATTACCAAAGAGGTAACAAGATCCAGACCAGTCTAAGACAAAAGGGGTATGGGCTGTCCCATGACATCCTTATGAATTTTCAGACCTAGCTGTTGTGACCTCGTGTCAGGTATATTTAATTTATCTTACAGCTGATTCATTGAGTATGACAAAAGAAAAATATCAGCGAAGTCTAGATCATCAGGCTGTTTTGTAAGGGTCCACTGAATTTCATTCTATGCATCTCGTAAACAGGTCACAATAGAAAAATTCGAAAAAGTCACATTTACAGGGAATTGTACCCAACCAAGTGTTGGTTTTGCTGCATTTCGGGGCGAAAGTGTTAATGATGTCTAACGTCTGTAACCAGTCTCGTTCTGACTTCTGTTGAATATTCTCATTACTAGTTACTCTAGTTATGGAGCCAGTACTCACAATATCTTCATCGTTGCTTGTAAATTTTGGTCAACATGCAGTTTTGTCAGTACTTGTTTTCAGAATCAGATTTTGATCTTCTGTTTAAAATGACTTTCTATGTTGCTTTTATGCTTAGGTTTGGATTTTTGACACGGCTGATGGTGGAGCTAGATTGTTAAGAATGCGTGAAGGCCACAGTGCACCACCTACCTGTATCCAGTTTTATGGAAATGATGGACATACAATTCTCAGTGCAGGTTTGTAAACTGTTGTAGACATGCAGAGTGTGAATGTTTCAAAATTGTTGTCATCACAGATTGACAGTACCATGTGTTGTCTGGAAATGAGAGAGCTGATAACTTGCAGGAGAAGGTGCAATAAAAAAGCAGCCGTATACCAGTCACCATCATCATCATCAATTTCCATTTCTGCCGTTAAGCATTGTGCTTGAAGGGTGCCTTGGTCTCTGGGTAGTAAGATGGGACGCCCGTGTATACTGTTGCGCATGTAAAAAAAAATCCCATCGAATTGGAAATAAAAAAGAGTAGCCCCACGGCGCTGCCCGGGCAAAATTTAGAGTTAGCAAATCTACTCAGAGTATTTCACACAAGACACGACTTTATTATGGACAGATAGAAATTAATTATTCTGTGCATCAGAACAAGGCACAGCCACATATACACACAATTTTACATTGGCTTATCGGACATGTGTGCAACACATGCTCCAAGACTGCCCCGAATTTTACATTAGGCAAACTTTTTGGCCAAAAATACAATAATAAAAAGTAAACTCTACAAACCACTGAATGAACTAAAAATGGCCGTGAAGTTTATACGAGAGGCAAAAGCACAGATATAGACAATTTATTTCAAGTGAACAGAGGAAATCATATTCTTTATTATTTACTTTACAAAACCTGTTGTTTTTTTAGCAGAGGGCAGGAGGATAGCACGTAGGTCCACCTTACACTTAGGGTTTTTTAATGGAGGTCTTCTCTTGATTTACTGTTTGTGCCTTTTCTCTCACACATTCTTGACTGTAGGATGGTTTCCTTTGATTTTTTAAAAAGTTAAAACAACTCAAATTCTAACATTGACAAAGCACCAAATTTTCCAAAAAAGTTGTAAAATTGTTCTGGTAATTGAAAAAAGTTTGCTGTATAGTCAGGACACCTTTAATCAATTGACATATCCAACAGTTCGTGACAAAACGGATTCCATCCAGTTGGCCATTTTTTTTTTACAAAGGCAAAGTACAAGAATTGTTGATGATAGAACAATTTTTTGATTGTCTTAAGTGGTCCACATTGTATATGGTTTTCCAAGTCAAATAATTTACTGTTTATTTGAGCAAGGTGGTCTTGAAGATAATAAGTTATCAGCAGCCAAAACTTGCTGAGATGTTGACAAGGATAACACATACAAATTCTTGATTGGTACATAAAGCTGGTAGCATTATATGAGTTCTTCATTTTTTAAATTGTGTGCTTTTATTTTACCAGTGGCACCGTTTTTCTGTTTTGTAATGTGATGACTATACCTAATTTTAACCTTTTTTTAGGGCAAGATAGTACAATGAGGGCATTCTCCACAGTACATGACAAGCACAATAAAAGTCTGGGTAGAGCTTCATATTATAAGAAGGCTTCCAAAAGGGCAGGTCTAAAGTTAGACAAACATAAGATGCCACCAATCATCAAGTTTGCTGCAGGTATGTATTTGTTCACTTCTCTGAAACAATTAGTCATCCAGTTGTACAATTATTGCAGTTATGCAGTAAATACATGCACAGTGGGTGGCTAATCAGACAAAGAGTAAAAGGCAAGGACAATTTTTTCTTATCAACTGCCTAAATTTTACGTTTTACGTATTGTTTGCTCAGACTGAACATTTCAGTTGCCAAAATAAGAGTCCCAAAATACTTATATACTTGATATAAAAACTGTCTTATTATAATTTCAGCTTTCAAAAGACTGGATATAATGTTCAAAACATGTGGTTAGTTTTATGGAAATTATGGAGCTGAAAATGTCTTGTCAAATGCACCCGCCATTAGGGCATTTAAATATATATTTGAGATTTGTTACTGTCAATAAAAGGTAATTTGTGACATGTGGCTTGTGGATACTACACAGTTCTAGTGTGAGTATGCTTGCAACCATCACATATGAGGGGGTGTTGCTAACTGATGCCAGACAAGCACATTCAGCAGCAACACATTTGGACTGGTACTGATTTCTGGTCTCTTGGTCAAGTCAAGATGATTATTGACTTGCTGCTGTCAGTTACATTGAGTCTTTCCTATAATTGTAATCAGATTTGTATTTGCTTGTATAAATTAAAGATCTTTGTTTCTCAGTACTAACACATTGAAATGCTTCTATTTAGAACCAAACAGAGAAAGTGATTGGGATAACATCATTGCTTGCCATCGATCACTAAATATTGTTTCATCTTGGAGCTTCCAGAGGTCGACAATGGGGAAACACATGTTTTCACACCCACGTTTTAGTCAAGATGTCATGGAACATCCTGTAACGGCAACGGTAAAAATTAGTTTCAAGCTGTAAAACTGCAATGTTTAAATATATGTGTATGACAAGTATCATTCTTTATTTATCTCTTCTTGATTTATTTATTTAACTTATTCCCATAAATCAGACAGTTACTGGTGCCATCGGAATTGGAACTCTTTGTTTGCTGCTGAAGATGGCGACGGAGCGCTTATGGGAGTGTTCTGAGTGTCACGATGTCGATTTTTGATTGATTGATTTGATTCAAGAACCGACTTCACAGCACTTGGGGCATTCCCATAAACGCTCCGTCCCCATCTTCAGCAGCCAGCGAAGAGTTCCGATACTAATGGTTCCAGTGGCATGCTCATTAAATGTCCGTCTACCCTTCCCTCTGAGTCTCGAGCATCTGCTAGAACCTCTCAGCACTCCCAGCTGCATCAATCTCACCAGAGTGTGGTGATCCATCTGCTCCTCCTAACTGTACACTCTCTCCCACAAGGCACTAACCATGTCTGCCTTATCATGTATCAGTATTCCACCAAGTTGTGCAGAGCCAGCCAGTCTGTCCGCCTGTTCATTTCCCAACACACCGGCGCTACCCGGTAAAAAAAATCCAAACAATACTCGTCACCCGTGTCCTCCGCAGCGAAGCATGCCTGTTCTGATCTTTCTCAGCATGCTTTCTGAATTAGTCAAAATTAAACTCATTCTCGTGTTGCAGTTCCTTTGCTTAATGTTTCTCTCACTGTGGTACAAAAAAGGATTCCTTCTTTCACTAGTTCCTCATGCAACCTATAATAATTTTGCTATTCATTTCACTGCTTCTGAGGTGTCAACTTAGTGGCAGCATCAAACAGTTATTATAAAGGGGCATGTCTTGTGCACAAGCTTTGCCTTCATTGTTATATAGTCCAGCTACATTTAGCTGTTAGATATAAGATGTCTTCTGTGCTATTTTTGTGCATGAAGAATGGACCTTGGTAAGCAAGGACACACCTGAGTGTGTAAGACACAATGTTAAGTGGCACTGCAGTTTGATGCTGCAAGGATTTGTATTTTAAGAACTCAGTATATGGCTTGGCTTGCACACTTTTGCTTTTCTCTACAGAAGATCACTTTGCTGAGCTGGTTGCAGGAAAATACTACCCACTAATTATAGGTGCTCATGTTACAGATTTAACTTCTTAGTTTTTAAAACTTGAGATTTATTGTTATAATTGAACTGTTTAGAAGTACAGCATGTCCTGAAACTTGAAAAATGCTAGGTTGCATCTATGCAGAGGCTCTTGTCTTCAGGGGGTGCGTACTATAGATCCCTGTATGGGAAAAATGCCTGATTTGTTAGACCAGTAAATAGTTAGGAAGTCTTATGTGCTTTCAATATGTTTATTAGGAAAAAAAATAAACAACTGTTGTAAATTGTCATTGTAAAGTTTTTATTGGAAATTGTAATAGGAGGTCAGAAATGACAGTAGTCAATAATAAATCAAGAAGTCACTCTGGCAATTAAAAGAATGAAATTATCGGATCAGTTTACTTATTTAGATAGCAGTTTTGATCACCAAAAAGACAAAGAAAGAAATTACACATTGAGAACCCCTAAAGACATATGCCACAAGTTAAATGTATTAGAAAATAAATGCTTGAGAAAATTGATGAACTTTAAATAGGAATAAATAAGAGAAATATACAGTCAGTGGTTGCTATCAGCAGTCATGATACAAAGAAGATGGTGATATAGTGGGCACATCCTCAGCAGTAAAGGGTGCAATGTTCTGTAGAGAACATGCTGATCAATAATGATTTACTAAGACTAGTTTATTTGATTTTTTTTCCGTATTGAAAGGTGTTTGGAGAGGAATACAGTATATTGACAAATTCCAGTCAGATTTAAGAAGTGGGATGGAGGGAAAGAGATTCTGAACTGTAAAATAAAAGACCCTTTGCATACTAAAATTAAAAAACAATTTTTTTTTAAAATAGATGATTAGCACTCATTAAGGGATATGAATAACATCACAGCAGCCACTTTTATTACCTAGGACTGTTCTTGATTCCAGTTTAAGGCTGGTTTGACTTAGGAACTCTAGGTCAACTATTCTGAAGGAATTCTGTATTGAAACCCTTCAGCCTATATTTGAGTCATCTTATATTTGTATGAATCATTCTTACAGGCAGTGGAGATATCTCCTTGTGGAAACTTTGCTTTCATTGGCTACAGTAGCGGCCATGTTGATGTGTACAATCTGCAGTCTGGTATCCATAGAGGAAGCTATGGTAATCCTCAAGGTGATGTTTTTTTATGAATGATCAAAGCAACACTAAATTTTACTTACATTGTATACTGCTTTTGCTATTTTTGGAATTCTTTGTTTTCACCACACTTGCATTAGCTTGGTTGTCTTTGATAGGTAAATGTCAGCTCAATGGTAAACTGTGTGCAACCAGCAACTGGTTTAGCCACCCTGAATATTGCATTGTTTATTGTAATGTATAACATAAATTATAAATGTTCACTTGGTCAATGAAGTCATTGTTGTGTGTATATATATTTATAAAACTCTTTGATTGCATGGTATGTTCATAGGCTCCTACCAAAATCCCAATGAATGCAAGATGCACTAATTTTATGCCTCTCTTAACTAACCCTGGGGCCTGAGATGCTAAACCCTCTGGGACTCAAGGAGATATATGTATGCATATTTGTAGAGACAATCTCTCCCTAAGGTTTCCTCGGTCATCATCATGAGAAAGGTGTGGGGCACCTGTGACAATGCTCAGAGTCAATATTTGTTAATTTATTCATGACTTTATTTTACAATTGATACAGAAAAGTGTCTGGATGCCAGTAATAGGATTCATAGCGGACTTGATTTTGACCTCGAATTCCAGACGTGCTTTGGAATTCTAGAATTTGCCCCCCGAACAGGATAATGGTCCTTGAAGTTTGCCTGCCGTATTGGGAGAACTGGAAATAAAACACACCTTTGTCCAAAGACCTGTGATTTCTGGCAGTTTGGCTATTTTGATCTATTGACTATTTTCATCTGCCTTCATTTTAAATGTTTACGGTCATAAGGTGGGCAGTCAATCCACTGTTCATTGCTTGGTTTGTTTCTTAGTGTGAAGGGAATTCCTTATGTGTATAAGTAAGGTACTAGTACTACGGCCTACATTTACATCATGCCTGGATGCTGTTTTTAGCTGAAACGGGTAGTTTCAGGGATGGAGCAGTCACCTCACTTTTGATTGTTTCTGGAAGCCAAGTTACATTGGGGCCTGGCAAAGTGACTTCCCAGTTCTGTTTTTGGCACGGTATTTTCTTTGTAATGCATTTATCGATCAGTGTTATAATTCTCCTTCCCCCACCCTCTATATCATCCCTCTTCTCTTCCTCTCTTTCCTATTTTTTTTTAATCCAGTACAGAAGAAATTGTGATTTATGGTTGAGAAACGGGGTGTGGTTTCATCATGCGACATGGTTTTCTGGGACTTTTCCTATTTTTATTTATTTTGATGAGTTGTTGTTTGTTAGCACTCCTTGTCTGTGGTGTTTGAACTGATAAGTGTATTTTTACTCTGTCTCTGTACCTGCCTCCTCTATCTGTATCTCTGTCACTGCCTCTTTCTCATAGAAAAAGGGTAAAACATTTGGGCAGTACAATCTTCATTCAAATATTAATTAACAGTAAGGAGATGGAAAGGATAACTGCAGATGCCTGCTCTAGACACGATACCTAGTGTCAATAAGCCATTTCACTTTTTAGATGAAATAGGCCACTATTTGTGTTTTTATTTAATGAATATCCAAAATTTGCATGAATTAAAATATTTTGTTCACGAAGTATTTCTTTGTCTGCAGCTCATGATGTGACTGTGAGAGGAATTGCATGTGATGCGCTCAATCAGAAAATTGTTACAGCTGGTGCTGATGGCACTCTTTGCTTCTGGAGATGTAAAGGAAAGCAGTTACTTGGAGATTTGAAAATGTACGCCTTCGTATCTGAAATATTATTACACAGGGACAGGTAAGCAGAACTAAGTGTCTTCAGTTTTTATTTTATTTATAGAAAATGACAAACAAGGACAAAGTGAAACTTTAAATGGAATATATTCCCTTAGTCTAAACATGTATATATAAGGTCTCATGCCAGACCCCTTGACATCTATCAGTAAGGCTGTCACATATCACTCCTGTCACGTGCCTGATTTAAGGATTTCTCCTTAAGAACCAACAGCACTCAGAAATAATTCATGTTGAGTCGTTGGCTCGTATTGGTCTAAGGGATGCCCCGTGGCCAATATACGCTCAACTTATTTCTGGAGTAGGGCAACTCAAGTTTTGGCACTACAAAATATATAATATTCCTAGGCACACTTGGCTGGACATTCCTACTACTAAAAATAATTAGCCCCCAGGTTATGATAGTCTACTATCATAACCATGTTAACACTTATTACTCACACACATATCAATGCTAAACAATTAGAAAGGTGAAACAGGGACACCTAAGTCAGCCATGAAAATGAATGTATGTAATAAGTACAATTTATCTACATATATATTGAAGAATAGATTTTCCAGAATGTTCATAGACTCAGGGCTCAGTGACACGACCCAGACATTGAAGCAGCCAGATTGTCTTGAGATGGACCTGATTTCATCACGGGAATACCACAGAGCTGTGGGGAAGAAAGCATGATAATGAAAAAAAACTGTCAGCCCAGTTCGTAGGTTGATGCTCCCCTCAGTCCATGGTGATTCGACTGTAATTGACTCAGGTAGCTCTGCCTCAAGTTGATCTGATCACAGAGGATTACCTCACCATCGAGGACACAGAAACTGCATAGGGACTCAACAAGTCTCTCTCACAGGTCACAAAACTGTCTCGGGCCCCAACCAAGCTCCTGAAGACTGGTTCACTCGATCAATGACACAACCTCTGCAAATGTTCACTCGTCCTGGAGCTCACACACGCTCTTGCCATGACATGGTAATGTTTGGTACATAAATTGGTGTTGGTTGGTGGTTGTTGGCTGGACTGTGATTCGTCTGCCTGATCTCACAGAGGTCTCATCCCAAGCTTAGGGAATGTCCTTGACACCAAAGGCCGCCTCCTCAAAGCATAGATTTACGAGGCCCCGTTGAACACATCTGTTCTCTAGGCAGTCAGGCAGAAAAATGCCCGCTTCAAACTATGCTTGGCGTTACTAGAAAAGAAGTCCCTTGTATACATGAGCAAGGAGTAAACCGGTTTCCAGGAATTTTCAAATCAAACACCAGAATTCGCCAACTTACAGTTGCAAGTTTGAAAATGAAGATATATCAAAGCAACTAGAGGGTCCAGAAATTACTATTTTACCAAATAAAGGTATAGATCAATATAAGGGACTATATATCTTTCCGGATGGGTCTAAGTTTACAATTTTTCTGAGCGCGGGGGATATCAGGTCCCGACTCGTCCACTATGTTTAGTGGCTGTTCATTTCATGACAAAGGCTTACGAGAACATTGTAAGTCAACCAGGGTTAGGAAAAAATTAATTTAAAAGGAAACTGTAAATGTTATATTTAATAATTATACTCAATACTCACATCCTGCTAGATAACATCGTGGCCACATACCACACTCCCCAAAGCACAGCGTGAACACAAGAAGGCATGTCTGATAAGTTTTTAGTCAATACAGGGGTGAGGCAGAAATGTGTGCTCTCTCCTCTCTTATTTACCATATATATAAACATGATATCAAAAGAAGCAGTTGACCCAGGAAATCCAGAAAATGAGGAACTTTACTTTCCAGAGGAAGAATTAGATCTACAACAATAAACTAGCAACTGTTTGCAGACAATCAGTGCCTCTTCTGCAATGAGACAAGAACATTCAAATAGGCTAAGTTCAACATGCAAATGTAACATGAAAATAAATATTACTCAAACTGAAGTAATGAAGGTCAGCAGAATTCCTAGTCCGCCACATATTGGGTTAATTGGTACTTGTCTGAAGCAAGTTAAAGATTTTGAACATCTAGGAAGTATATCTTCAGAAATGGCAGAATAGATAGGGAAATAGAAACAAGACGCCAGTGCACTTACATACCAACTGACACCATTTTTAAGGCATCCAAACATAAGTATGACTGCCAAGTAACAGATTATAAACAGTATATTCACACCAACACTGTGCTACCAGTGCCAGACTTGGACATCACCAAAGGCTAACCTACGTAAAATTGACGCCTGAGAAAAGCCGCCAACTTAACCATTTAAGACAAATTTAGAAATGATATCAGAACATGATACTATAGGAACAACACCATGCAGTAAATTCATTGAGAAACAGAAGATCAGATTGTTTGGTCATTTAGTAAGAATACAGTTAAATAGCTACCAACACAGGTGCTACACATGAAAAGATCTAAAGTCAAAGCAAGAGACTGCACAACAGGGAAGATGGGTTAATGACATTAAAGAGCTCCTTCACTGACAGGGAATGACACTAGCCATTGCTGCCTATCAAGTCGTAGATCACAAACTGTTTCTCCCTCCCACACTCAATGTCAGAAGGGGACATTGTTGATGATGATGATTCACATTCTGGAAGTGTAAACAGTACGCAGACACACATGGAGCCAGTGGAATTAAACTACACTTGTGGAGAACATGCAAATATGGCAATATATCAACATCTATAGTGCTGTGGCACAACTGGAAGGCACTAGATTTAGCCTTTTCAGAGTGATAGGGTTACATTAAACTACTATTAGTATTGGAACACTGCGCTGGCTGCTGAGAATGGGGACGGAGTGGATATGGGAATGCCCCGAATGATGTGATGTCAATTCTTGACTAAACTCAACCCTAGGGTTAAACTATAACCTACCACATTTAATTTGAATGTGCGGCTGCATTTCAGACCTTTTACATGTTTAACATTTTTTTTAAATTGTTTTTTCAGTTCAATGCTGGCAGTATCACTAGATGATTTCACAATCAGCATAGTTGATATTGATACAAGGCGGGCTGTAAGACAGTTTGCGGGACATTCTTCTGCTGTAACAAACATGGTATTATAAGTGATATTTCTTTGTGAGAAAATACTTGTTAAAATGTCTTCTTCTTTGCATTCAAGGCTGTAAACTCTAGTAGGAAGTCCTGATTCATCATCTATTTCTGAACTGTGGTCTTGTTCTAAGACTGTTTTGTGTGCACATCTGTTCTACAGACCTAGTTTTTGTTACCCTTCTCTCAGACAGGTGCACTCCGACTTTTGTTGAGAGAAACATTTATCCTGTTCATGATGCTGAGGACCCTAGTGAAGACAGGTCTGGATCAGTATGAACCCTGGTTCTGGTGCACCAGTGTTTGGTTCAGCAACTCTGTGCCCCCAAACTCTTTTCGGTAACTTGGGGTATACTGGGTATGTTGGTAAGTCTGCTTTTCAATTTGTAGACCAATTGACACTCGTTACTTGATGAAGTCACCCTTTCTTTTTCTTCTTGTTTTGTTGTTCTACTGATACCAGGTTGTATCTCATGGTTTTCTGTATTTGTCTTGTGCTTCTCGGGTGACTTCAGTGATAAATTTGTTCAACTTTTTGTAGGTTTCATGTACACCATTTTTCCATATCTTTTTTTGGTCTTCCTCTCGCCTTCCTCCCAGATGTTCAACTGCAAAAAGTCTCATTCAGTTTGGTCTGGCTGCATTCTCACTAGATGGCTGAACCATTTCATTGTGTCTGTCAGTATAATCCAGACACGGTTTTATTCCAACATTCTCTCTAATGCTGGTATTCGTTACCCTGTCTTGTCTAGTGTTGTTAGTGACCTTGCGGAGACTGCGCATTTCACATAGCCACCTTTACTTCTTAAATATTTCCTGGGTCTCATTTTAAGCTGGGCATACCTGGGAGCCCATGTTTGTTTTAAAAAAATCCAAACCTTGAGGAGGATTCAAAGAGATGATCATCCAGTCAGCAGACAAGTGTGCCAGAAACAACTGCCATGGCTCCCAGAAATCTGAATAATTATATTTTATAATATTTTGACTCATAATAAAGAGTAAATATAGTAAGTACATTGTGAAGTGATCCATGCTTCGATTTCCTGACTTGTCATGTACTTGTAACACACACTTGCAACGACTTGGCAAAGTAATTTATATCTTTTTTTTTTATTACCAAGAATTAAACTAGGCCAGATCCTATGGAGTCCAGATAGTAGAGGTTCTGTTATATGTCCAATCCCTTATTTCAGAAAGAATGATCTTTCTTGTATTCTTCCAAAACGATTGTTCCATATACATTAAGCTGCCACCAGCAATAATCCAGTTAAGCCAGGCGTATACATGTCATGATTTTCATTGAAATTATCATTGTTATTATCTTTGAATTAGTAAACAGAGAGGTCAATCATGATGGAAATTTAAACACTTTTTTGTATACGTCAACACACGTGGACCTCAGCTTCTGAATTCGAAAGGAAAATATGGGATTTTAAATCAGTTTTTTCTTCAAAACATTCTCAGTAAATCAGACAAAAACCACATCACAAATGAAGAAGTTCACTGATACTTCAGGACTCAGCAGAAGAGAAGAGGCAGACCAAGAAAGATCTGGGTACAGAATTTGGCTGACTAGACAGGACACAGTCGTGCGGAGATCAGATCAATTGCATCCGACCATTAGAAGTGGAAGGAACTGATCAGTCAACAGCAACTGGTGACTCAACATGTTACGGGACTGTCATGATGAAACGCATATATTCATGCACATTTTACACTCACTATGGTTCTAAAAATGGACAGAAATTCAGAGAACTGTAGCATTTTTTTTTTTTTTTAGTAAATCAAGATATTTTTTATATTTAGACATTCCGGGCTGATGGCAGATGGCTTATTTCTGCTAGCATGGACTGTACAATTGCCACTTGGAATGTGCCCACTGGCAAGTAAGTACTGTGTACACACACCTGTTTGTAGCTAACTAGTCAACTAACAACACTTTTATTGCCACTTATCTCACAGTAGAGTGCATGTGTTCTTGTCAAGAGCTGCATGAGAATTTGAAATGTCAAATGCATACCATTTGTTTGTATGTAATGTTTATTCAGTTTATTTGTACATCTAAAATTCATTTAGTAAATTGCCTAGTATATACTTAGATCTCTATATCTTTTCTGTACTTTTTAAAATTATTTCAATGTTCTCAAGCATTTTTAATTTATTTTGATTTTTTGGCAAAGTGCATGTAAGAGTAGATATTTAGAAGTTCTTAAAGCGACCCTTTGAAACTAAATTGTATACTTTTTAATTTCTGTGTTCTGTTCTGGTATGGTATAGGGTTTTGTATTGAAGACTTGAGATCGATAAATTACTGTCAAACTAACTGCAATGGTTGCTATGGAAACAGAGATAAACAACGACCATATTGGATTTCTTGTGATATGTCTAAAACAACCATTTTTGTATGTACAGGCTCAACTTTTTGTCCTTAGCACCCCTTTACAAAATTACAGAACGTTTTGTGAAATCACTTACCATTTAATTTCTACCTAATTTAACAACGACAATTTTTGTGGCTTTCCAAAATCGCAAGCAAAAAAACTGCCCAAAAATGAAAAAAAATGGAGGAGAACAGAATTTTTTTCAAATGCTGTAACATGTTAGTTTACGTAGAAAAAAACAACAGTTTTTCATAGTACATGATCATTAGAACAATATGCATATGCAGGACTCTCCCTCTAGGGCATGTAGTTTATCTTGCCTTATCAGTTTGACAGCTCGTACACTGTCACATCTCTTAGTCTGCTTGTCCTTCTTATACTTCCAGCTATTTTTAACTCTCTTCTGCATCCTAGGCAGGCCTGTAGAAAATCCCAAAAACTGGGCAGTGACATGAAAAGCAACAGCACCAAAGTTGAACTCTCTTGCTGCAGTTACAACTGCAAACTGAGTGCGCTTTTGTGAGGCAAACTTGTTTTTACTACAGCAAGCCCAGATCAGGCTGTGTAAACACTCATTCAAATTCTGAATTTTTCTTGAAACACATCTACTAATTAGTTTAGGGTCAGACAGCCTTTCATAAATTGGCAAAAGATATTTCTGTAGCTTGTCACAATTGAGCCATGTGTGTAACATCTTGACATGAGGACCCAGGGACTGATGCCTAGCCAGGGCAGACTGAAAAAAAACCCACCAAGATTGCTCTCCACTTGGGCACATTTCATGGTTTGTCTGTTGAAAAACAGTGATGCAATGAAACCATAACACTGTTTCTTATGGACTCTACACTTGTGTTGTTTCTTATTGCTCTATTGTAATAAATTGTCAGCTTATGGCTGGCATTTTGTGTAAGCTGACCTTTATTAGGTCACAGCTAGGGTCACATCTTGATTTTGGCAGTTAGCATCAACGTTAAGGAGTATGCTGACATGGTTGATACGTTTCTCTTTGTCTATGTGAATGTCCTTCCCATAAGGTTTGATCTTGGTAAGCTCCGCAAATGGTTTGGCATCACCACCAGAAAGTATTGATAACGAAGCTTAAGATAGGCCACAGCACTTGTGCAGCCCCCACCTCCATCATTTCAGCAGATCTTGTGAAATTTACTATCACAGTTTAGAAGATGGTCTGCTTTCCATCCTTCATATTCAACTGGTTTAGATTTGAAAATTCTCTTACCAGTGGTTTCACACACCTGACCTAATGTGGACATAACATGCACATCTATGCAAAATCCTGTAATGACATCCACTGCACAGCCAACCCTAATGTAGGAAATGTGTCCTCTCGTCAGCCAAGTGCCATCAAAGCTGACAGTAATATCCAGCACATCACTGTCATGTAGAGTAATGCTGGACTGCTGTGCATGGACTTGCCAAACATACTTCCTTCACAGTTTGAGAGAAAACCATGTCCTCCAGATCTTCTCACTTTAAATATGATTTATTTGCTTTATTATGAAATGAAGTCAATAATATGAAAATCAAATGAATGGAAGCATATAAGCACTTGGGTGCAAACTTCAACTGCTCCAACATGCAACGAAAAGAAATACAATCTGGTAATAAAGTATACTATGCCCTTTAACGTCTGCTAAAGTCAAAGTCTCTATCTCGCAACACTTAGATCAAAATAGATAAAACATTAAGACCAGTTGTTTTATATGGCTTTGAAACTTGGAGTTTAGCTAAAAGAGATGAAGGCGTATTACAGGTTTTTGAAAACAGTATTACAACAAATCTTTGGACCTTTCAAAGATGTAAACAGCGGGGAATGGAGAGTGAGAAGCAACAACGAAATTCATAATCTGTTTAAATCACCATTGATCTTTGGCATCATGAGAGCTAATAGGTTGAAACGGCTAGGGCATATTTAGAGAATGTCAGATGACAGAGAGGTAAACATGTATACACAAGGGAGATGAATGGTCATACACCATGAGGCAGACCAAGAAGATCATAGAGAGGTAATATCCAGACAGACCTGCAAACACCTGGTGTTACCAACTGGAAAGAGAAGATGAGTGAAGGCAGGGGATATCTGCTCAGAATGCTGAAGAAGAAGAAGACAGAAGCTGGACACTGTAAGCACAAACATGAATGCCTACAGTAAATATAATTTTATGCAAAATGTTTGTGCCAGAAGGAACTTAATTATGTAGTTTGTTTATCTTAACAATATTTCATAATTAATAATGTTTTCTGAACAGGTTAATTGATGTCTTCATCCTGAGATCTGCTCCAACATCAATCAGTATTTCTCCTTGTGGAAGTTTTCTTGCAACTACACATATTGGGGATGTTGGCGTTTACCTATGGTCCAATCGCACTCTGTACACTCATGTATCTCTGACACCTCTGCCACCAGATTATAAACCCCTGCTTGCAGAGCTGCCAGGAACAGCAGCAACTGATTCAGGTATATTTTATCTTAATGAAAATCTCTCTTCCTCAATGTCTTTGTCCATCTGTCTGTCTCTGTCTTTCCTTCCCTCCCTTCTATATCATACTCATACACACAGTAGCATAAAATTACTGCAGAACTAGCGCAGCAGGAACTTAAGAAAGTATAATTTTGCCTTAATGAATATCTCTGTTCCTTCTTCTCCACCTCTCTCTTTCTCTTACCTCTTCCTTATACAAAATTTACTGCCAAACAAGCACAACAGGAACTTCAGCAGGTATAGTTTTGCCTTAACCCACCGACTACCAAGCCCATTTACCCTTGCACATTTCTAGATACCACATATTTTAGTGTGTACACACAAAAATGCCCTAGCTTCACAACAGTTTAACATAACTCATATTGGGGAGGGGAGGGGGATCACCATCATGTGGCTGTAGACTGGTGCAAAAAAAAAAAAAAGGCAATTGAAAACTCTATTTCTGACCGTAAGACAGACTTGAAAAATTCCATAGCTTTACAACTATTTAACGCAAATTCATATTTTGTTTTTTTATTTTGCACCAATAAATGGAGAATAATCTCCAAAAATTAAAAACCAATGTAGCATGTTTGTAAATCATCATATGGCTGTAGATTGGTGCAAAAAAAAAAAAACACACAGAAGCATACAAATCTTTTTTTAATTTTTGAATGATAGCAATGTTGAGCAACAAAAATGCCATAGATGACAACTGTTTAACATCACCTCATAATATTTTGCATTTTTGCACCAAATGGAGAACAAATTTCAAGAATAGACAAATTACAAAATCTTGTTGAATATCATCATAATTTAGCATCAGTGCAAAAAAGGCAACTGAATTTTTTTTTTCTGACACTAGAAAAGCTATTTTTTTTTCCTCTTCAATAATCCTGGATGAGAGCTCTGCCTAACAACTGTGAAATAAAATTCTGCAAATTCAGTGGCTTTTAGCCATTTTCCTCCAAAAACTTCTTATGCAGTATGACTAAACTGTCAAACTCAAAAACCCACGAAATTATCTTTTTCTAATGTGTGCATTGTGGTATTGGCACCCCTGTAAATGTTGAGGAATGTATTTTGAAACAATTTTTACTAAACTCTGAGCCACAGAATGAAGCACAAACATGAGACAGTTTACACAAAATAGAGAAATGAATGGACTAAGAGCTTCAGCTACATTTATGGCAAAATTTGCAATTTAACATCGTGGCGAGTGCCCAAAGTTGCGATTGCAGGAAGTGCAATCATTGTAGCCAGGCATAAATGTTGGCTGATCGCATAAAGTGAGATTGTGATAGTCAGTGGATTAATAAACATTTTTATCCCTCCTTCTTCACCTCTCTCTTTCTTTCATTGCTTCCTCACTCACGCACCCACGTGTACACACACATACATGGTAGTATAAAATGCACTGTAAAACAGTCACAATAGGAGGCTTCTGAGCATCAAAGTAGTGCCACTCCCAGAAATGTTTCAGCCATTTATTCTCTTAGATCTTGCCTGTTGGGTCATACTCCTGGTGTCTATGTCCTGTTAGTGCATTTCATGGATTATTATCATCAGTTTTTGAAACCAACTTATCATTCCCCACCACCCCATCATTTGGTCTACATTACTGTTTAAAAAAAAAACATATTTCTGTTTGCTGCACCACAGTGAACTGTGTTGCCTTCTTCACATCCTGTCCACTGTTTGCTGCACCACAGTGAACTGTGTTGCCTTCTTCACATCCTGTCCACTGTTTGCTGCACCACAGTGAACTGTGTTGCCTTCTTCACATCCTGTCCACTGTTTGCTGCACCACAGTGAACTGTGTTGCCTTCTTCACATCCTGTCCATAGCTAGAAAGAACAACCAGCCTGTTACTTCAGTTGCTGGTGGTGTCTCTTGGCTGGGTGTGGTGAAACATTAGAGCACTTGTTTGTCGTGGCCTCCTTTGTGTTATGGGGCATTCTTGACTCCACATTGTTCGCCTACTGGACATAAAGGCTAGTTAGATGCCACAGGTCACTGAAGTTCATTTTGTTAATTGTCGTTGGAGCAACAGAGTGCATGTGATGAGCTTGATAGCTTGCTGCAGACACATATTTTAACAGGCATATTTTTCAAAGTTCTGGGAAACAATTAGTCATGGATTAACTACAAAAGCATTTCTGTCGAAGGAATTAAAGAGTTTTAGACTGATTAAAGACACATGTGTAAATACTGTCTCTTGTTTATTATATCTGTAAAATATAAGATTGGGACTGTGATGGCAGCGCTGGATCTAGAAGATGCCTACAACAGGGTCCATTATATAATTTAACTTTTATATACTTGCAAATATGGAAGTCCTTTTCAGGATTGTTAACTTATGGTGATCTTGTATAATTATCAGATTGCCTTTCGAATAGTCTCTTGGATCTCAGAACTTTGCTATATTGTTAGAGCTTGCGTGAGGACCAGCCATTTCACCTGTGCTTTTTATTGTTTTTACCTAGCCTGTTGACAAAATGTAATTTTTTTTAAATGTGAGAAAATTAACAATAGTTATTTTTCATATTGCAGAAGGCGTGGAAGTCACGGACAAAGCAGAAGACGATGAGTATAAGTCAGTTGAACAAATATCAGATGAGCTTGTGACTTTATCATTGCTTCCTGCATCACGGTGGTTGAACTTGTTGAATCTGGATGTTATTAAGGTGAACATTGCTTTAAAAAACTATTTAAGAAAATAGATCTTATTATAGAGTTCAGGACCCTGGAGGGTAACCGGGGGGATGAAGAATAGACGCACTGCCGCAACCCCCCCCCCCCTTTCCCCAACCCAAACAGGCATGTCGTAAAAGGTGACTAATGTGTTTTCTTCAAAGTCTCTCGCTCTCTCTCTCTCTCTCTCTCTCTCCACGCATGCGCACACACATGAGAGAGAGAGAGAGAAAGATACAGACAGAGAATAATCAGAAAATTATCACAGATCATGGTCATTTGCACATTAACATCTGTCATGGAGATATTTGTAATGACTGTCGCGTGTGGTGCTCATCAAATACATGTTTCATACACCATGGTGGTTGAGAAAATGCAACCTCTCTGGTACTTGACACAACATGTATTGTGAATATATGGAAAACTTGTCACTTTCTACAAGGTTCAGAATTAATGGACACGTCATCAGCATGTATCAGACTACAGGAGACAGAAACCTAATAATGATTTCGGTTCATATGTGCAGTCAGTTCTCACTGACTGTCTGTCATTCAGCAAGGAATTTGTGAACACATTTTACACTGTCATTGTTCAGCATTGACTTTAACTAGTAAAAATATGTGAAAGACAGTGTGAAAAGGTTCAGTTCTGTGTAAAACTTGTAATATTGTATGCAGGTGAAACATCTAGTGGCTACAGAGATGTGTCTTCACAGAAAATACAAATGTAATGGGCAGGCAGAAAAACAAATGAGGCAGTCCTGTTAGAAACAGACAGTTAAGCATTTCTGAAGATTTACTGGAAAAGTGGAAAGAGGAAGAAATACATAGACCTGGACCAGTATGACAAGATTAATGCAGTAACATAGACCGGGTCTATGATGTGAGATGGTGAATGTAGGCTGCTTGCTGCTATTGGCATGGTACAAGATAATGACAGCTTTAACCAGTCAAAACACTTCCTGGTACAGTATACTGCACTGTATAGATAATGGTTTTTTGTTTGTTTTGTAAATCCAGGACTTGAGTGTTGCATGTACATCTGTTTTACAGATTATTGTAAGCCCATCACCATACTGAAGATTCGAGACTGAGTTTTCTGTATGAAAAAATCAGCATTTTTTACCACTCAGCCAGCCGCTAAATGAACAGTAAATTTAAAGAGGGAGAGATTCCTTTAGAACACTTTTAATATTACCAGTTGTATATTTTTGTAAGCTAAAAATAATGTGACATTCAGAGAGAGTCAGACAGGTTTCAACTCATATTTTTTACTATGTTAGCTAATGAATGTTTTTTCCCCATGATATGTGTCTAGATGAGAAACAAGCCAAAAGAACCGCCAAAAGTTCCAAAGGCAGCTCCATTCTTCCTGCCCACAGTTGCAGGTTTAGTACCAAAGTTTGATGTTCAACAAGACAGCACTTCACCATCACAGGTATGTATCTTACTCTTATTGTTATTGGTCTTCTATAGGAATGTGGGAGTATTACAGCAACTGATTTGTTTCAGGTGACAGTTCCCCCCAAGCTTCCAGTAATATTAGCCAAAAACTGTTTTTAACATGATTATACTCAAATTTTGTTTCCTGTCTTGACAGGCCCGCTGAATAAATAATTGTTCTTTATTTGTCACTGTACACTGTAAATACAAGTTTTTTCCCCCCTTTAAATGTAGAATTCAGTGTGCTTTGATTGAGTGGATGATATTTACTCTTTAAAATTAATCTCCTTTTAAAAAAAAACTGGGTTGCAGTGTATATACTAGTTTGATGATCTTGATTAATTTCTTTACATAAACATGAATAAAGTGCTGTCTCCCCATTGAATGTTGTCTGCAGTGAATCTCCCACATGCTCTGTCTTTCATTCTGATCATACACTTTCTGAGACTGCTGTACATCCATCTCTTTGGTTTTTCTGCTTGTATCAGTGATTTTGTTTCTTCGTCTTTCTGTCAAAAAATTGATTACAATTTTGTCAAAGAAAGAGTCAGATAAAATATCACCCTTGTGCATTTAGACTTCATTTAAACTTACATGAACTTACATAATAATTAAATATGAGTGGGAAATGGAGAAATTTTAAATTTAAAAGAAATTTTTTTTTTATGTTGGCATTGTTTACAGGCGGACAGTCATGTGAAGAAACCTCAGCTCGGAGCATTGTCTGATCTGGCTGTGATCTTGACAAAAGCACATAACAGTGGCTGCTGTAAGTTCTTCTTTGCTCTTTATAAACTTGATGCTTTCGTTTCATTTGAATACCCTGGGTGGCCAGACAGTTTTGCTCTTTAAAATGGAAGATTCTAGGCACATTTGTATGGAGTTTATTCATTGTCTACATACTCCACCCCACCAGGTGATGTGCTTCTCCCATATCTTCTTCACCTCCCTGATGCTTTGGTTGTAGTACTCATATTTCTGGACCGATAATCAGTCCAGTAATCAGTTTCTGGCCCTTCCAAAAATTATGTCCACAAAGTGGCTTATTCATGTTTGGAAGCAAGAATAAAATGCTTGGTGCCAGTTCCTGATAGTAATTGAATTATTATTATTATTTGGCTACTTTTGTTTACGGTTGTTTCAGGTATGAGGGCAGTTGATTATCGGCTCTTTTCGGCTGAAATAGCTTGTTAAAGGCTAGGAAAGGGCGGGCTGTGTTGCAGCCCATGGATACACGCAGACAGCAGCAACGTGGTATGGAGTGGGAAGAAGCTTTTTTTTTTTTTAGTGTGTCAGGCAGTTTTAATGGTATAAATAGCCCTCTTGCCGTGGTTTCTAGAAACAAGGATTACATTGGGAGATGGTTGTGCTAAGAGATAACCTTGAAAAAAACTAAGAAGCTTGAAAAGCCTTGAAATTGTTTAGTAAATCTGGCTATGAACTCTGCTCCCAGCTGGCAGGAGTATTTATTGTTGATTATAAACCATTCACAGGCAGCATCAAACAAGACTTTGACAGTGAACAAATAGCACACAGCTAGCTAATGAAACACATAAACATACTGTGTATGCACATTTGCGTTTTCCATCGTTGTGTTGTCAGTGGCAGGAAAAATGGGACTTGTCTAAAAAAAAAAAAAGGCACCTCGTATTTTGGCCATATCTAGTGCCACGGCAGACTGGGAAAAAAAATTTGCAGAAGGTATGGTACCAGGAAGGAGCAGCAGGGGTTGACTAACATGAAGACAGTCACAGGATATAAAGGACTATTTGGATATGGAATTCAAGCGGCAGAGTTTCTTTCAGGTAGACTGTGATGAGAGTAGCGTTCTGCAAAGGACCTTCTTCATGATTATGGTTAATTAATAATGCCTTTTAGGGTCAAAGGTGACCAGTGTATAATTAAAATCATTTTGCTGACTTTTTTCCTTTCTGTTATCTACCTCATCTGCAAATTCCTATCATCACTCAATGATTTTGTCTGGGTTCAGAGGTAGCAAGTTAACTTTTGCACTGTTAGTTGTAAATATATATATATATATATCTATATAAAAAAGTAAAGGTCCCTTCTTTTTCCATACCTTTAGGCGTATAGGGCATAAAGGGCTAGACCTATATGTTTATAGACCAGTCAGCACAAGATGGCTGTTGTGGTCTGCATCACGCTGGCCGCCTTTACTTCCTGGGACTGCACCCGGTACCCACTCAAGGCTGGGTCGACCTGGGTGTCAAGGTCATTTTAAAAAAAAAGCGAAGCCATGACCTTCCGATCCGCACGCCAGCATCTAGCCGCTACGCCACGGCGACTCCCGTAGTTGAATAGTGTTTGAAAATACATCTGCATGACATTACTGATGGCACATAAGACCTAATTCAGTAAACATGGTAGATTTACTTTCATTGGAAACATTTGACATTCATATTTGTATCAATCTGTTATAGTCAGGTATGGCTGGGATCAGCATTTAAAACATGCATTGCCACATAATATCTGTGTAAGTTTATTTCTGCATTATGTAAACTCCTGAAAACGTGTTTATGGAGGCTTTACATAGTTGATATCATTATTGTCTTCATATTTAGATTCAGATGTTCTGAAAGCACTGAAAGAAATGGGACCTTCAGCAATTGATAGAGAAATTCGAACCTTGTGTGCTGAAGAAGGTGGCAGTGATGAGGTGATGCTGTACTTTTTAGAGTTTGTTGACGCTGTTCTGAGATCAAACAAGGACTTTGAGCTTGCACATTCTTACTTGGCTTTATTTCTGAAGGTCAGAATTGTTCCGTTATTTTATTTCATTGTTGTTTTTTATTTGCATTGTTGACAGTGAGTGCCATATTGCTTAGGAGTGCAATTTTGAGTATAGAAACAAAAAAGTCAGACATGTTGCCTAAAAGATGCAAATATTACAGCTATCAGACATGTCACCTGAAAGATGCAAATTACAGCTATCAGACATGTCACCTGAAAGATGCAAATTACAGCGATCAGACATGTCACCTGAAAGATACAAATATTACAACTATACTATAAACAATTGTAATCCATTTACATTTTCAAATAAAAAACAAATAAAATTGTGAAACCACAAGCATTTTTTATTAAAGAAGGATGCACTGTTTTCTGTGGACTATAATTTGTTGTCAGTTTCGGTAACAGTCGATCTTGATTTTATCCGGATACTTTAGATATAAAATAATTAAATACAAATATGAAGCTGTTGTTAAAAAAAAAATTGTTTGCTATGTTTTTGTTTAAGGCCATGTGCGGGTGTTCCAAACGGTGAATTTGGGTCATGTCGACAGTTTTGGGAGACATTTAATTTACACACCTTAGTATGTCTTCTGTCAGATTTCAGTATCTGTTTTTGTCTAAAATATATTATTTTAACGCATTAATAATATTTTACTGAGCTAATCCTAGCTGTGAAATTATTTGTTAATTGAAATTTCTTACGAAATTGGCTGTTTCACACGTGGCAAAGCTACAAGGTCCAAGATTATGTAATAAGACCATTTCCATAAAAATTAAAATAATCAACAGTTGAAGATATAACCTGTATCTGATTTAAAGTAAGCCGCTTGTGCATTGATGCAGCAAGTGGCACGATCTAACAAACACTAAAATGACCGCTGTAGTTCTTCTGTTGTTATGGCCTATAAAGTCAGTGTTACGGCCCTTTTGATGTCATCAAATCATTAAAGAAGTGTCCTTTCAATCGTAACTTTGATTTTGGGAATAGAAAAAAATCACAGAGAGACAAATCTGGGGAATAGGGTGGAAGGCTAAGCCTGATCACGTGGGTTTCAGATTCTCAGAAATGGCCACTGTGGTTGATTGTTTAATCAGACACTGCAATACTGCAGATCAACATAAAAAATCTTGAAGTCTACAACATTCCAGCGATGCTAGGAACAAGCATGTTAGATGTGTTGCATTCAGAATTTTCTGTAATTTTAACAACGATCTGGTGGACCAGAGTCTGGTCTGGTAGTCTGGTAGTCTTAGTTTCAGCTTCATAGCAAACGGGTCGCCCCATCTTTGCTCCGCTCCTGTGCCAGCGAAAAACACTCAGAATGTCCGTTCCCTTGTGGAAAAATTGACAGACTGCTGTCTCAGCATATCTAGCATACACTCGCATTAAAGCATATGGTAGCCATCCGAAGTGCTAACACAAACAGTCCAACATTAGAAATGCAGTTCATCATTGATGATAGCAGAACCTGTCGTCAACAGATCAGCAGTTGTCTGCGCAATCAATTTTAATACGGGTCCCGCCAGCATTGAACGACAGGCATCGCGCCATTTTCTGAATCCACAATTCACACCACCACGTTGGTCACAGTCGAAAAAACAAACATTCCAAATGCAATCCGCAGCTCACAGGGTCACGCCATGCATTCAACTCAGAAGCTGGGCGACGAAACTATATCCAGTCTACAAATGGAGCAAAAATGCATCGACCACCGTCCGGCTGAAGCAAAAAAATTGCCTCTGTTCCGAACGGCGCCGCTGTCTAGCGTCCATTTTAACCGGAAGTGTCTTTGCTTACGAGCATTGCAAATTGGGAGGTTGCACGAGTGCTGTGGCACCAGTCTGTGGCCAGTCAGAAGCTTCGTTATCAATATTTTATGGTGGTGGTGCCAAATTTGCGGAGCTTACTAAGATCAAACCTTATGGGAAGGACATTCACATAGACAAAGAGGAATATATCAACCATGTCAGCAAACGCCTTGGAACAGCACCCCGTAATTTCGTTTGCTGACTGCCAAAATCAAGACGTGACCTTTGGTGTACGTGGTAAAGGTCAGCGTACACAAAATGCCACCAATAAGCTGACAATTTATTGCAATAGAACAATAAGGAACAACACAAGTCCATTGGGAACAGTGTTATGGTTTCACTGAATCACTGTTTTTTAACAGACAAAACTCCACGCCATTAAATATGCCCATGTGGAGAGCAATCTTGGTGTTTTTTTCAGTCTGCCCTGGCTAGGCATCAGTCCCTGGGTCCTCATGTCAAGATGTTACACACATGGCTCAATTGTGACTAGCTACAGAAATATCTTTTGCCAATTTATGAAAGGCTGTCTGACCCTAAACTAATTAGTAGATGTGTTTCAAGAAAAACTCAGAATTTGAATGAGTGTTTACACAGCCTGATCTGGGCTTGCTGTAGTAAAACAAGTTTGCCTCACAAAAGCGCACTCAGTTTGCAGTTGTAACTGCAGCAAGAGAGTTCAACTTTGGTGCTGTTGCTTCTCATGTCACTGCCCAGTTTTTGGGATTTTCTACAGGCCTGCCTAGGATGCAGAAGAGAGTTAAAAATAGCTGGAAGTATAAGAAGGACAAGCTGACTAAGAGATGTGACAGTGTACGAGCTGTCAAACTGATAAGGCAAGATAAACTACATGCCCTAGAAGGAGATCCTGTATTCGCAGCAGGATTGTTCATGTAAAATCCAAAACAAATTCTGTTCATGTTACAGCTTTAAAATAATGTTAGTATAATAATGCATTAAAAAAATTCCTTTACCCTCCGTTTTCTAATTTTGGCAGTTTTTCGACTTGCGATATATTTTTTTAATCAAAAACAGCTTGTCTGATTATAATGAAACTGTGTACACTTATTTAACATTGTATTACTTATGCAAAAACAAGAGCGTTTGTGAAACTAAGATTTAGTTTTTGTGCAGCAGTCGGAAAGCCACAAAAATTGTCTAAAAATATACGCTAAATTTTTTTAATTAGGCAGAAAAGAAATGGTAAATTGTATCACAAAAAACGTTTTGTACTTGTGTAAAGGAGCTATGAATATACAAAAAAATTGAGCTAGTACATTAAAAAAAATGGTTTTAGACCTATCCCAAGAAATATGCCTGTTGTTTATCTTGTTTTCTTTAGCAACCATTGTCAGTTTGACAGTAATTTATCTATCTCAGGTCTTCAGTATAAAACCCCATACAATACCAGGACATAGAAATTAAGTAGTAGGCAATAATAAAAAAAAATAGTCAGCATCGCATTAAATGCTTACTTAAATCTACCTTTATGAAAGACAGTTGTTGGTAAATGTAAACTTCATACATAACTCTACATTAATGTGTAAATTGGTTGCTTAAAAAAACCGAGCTGGACAACATGACAGATATATCATGCTTGCTTTGTGACTTACAAGATTAATGTCTTGGATGGAGCAAGCTGAAGACATAATTAGATGTGCAAAGGCTTGAGAATATTTGCAAGGAGAGGAGTGGGTCAAAGTGTCTGCGCACCAGTCAGATTTGTGTAGGGTTGTAGTCACATTAGACTGAATGAAGGGACTGGCCAGCAGATGCTGCAGAATCATCATTAGTTTTACAAATGATTCATGACAATTCCTGCCCATGTGTTGTGATTATATACACAGCACTGTGTGGAGAGGCAGAAGAAGTGCATGGGAGTTTATAGCGAAAGCAAATGAATGTTGCTTAGTTCATTAAAGCCTGGCATATGATATCACAACATCAAGTTGGAGAACGGAGGTGCAGGCAGTCACTGCAGCTCTCTGCTGGCTTGAGAACCAGCTGCACACACATGTAATGATTGTAACTGCTCATGATGGAGACATGTACGCTCCATTCTTGAGTGGCAAGCATCACATCAGAGATCTTGGGTAGTTTTTTAGGAAATGAACGGGCAGATAGATTGACTGGTTCTACACCACTTGGTGGTAAATTGATGCCTGACGAGCTAGGGCTCATTGGGAGTGAGTAAACAGTGCAGAAGCAAACTGATCATCACAGTCCAAAGGGAATGGTGCATTGAGGAGTAACCAGGAGATCTGGCCGATGCTCAACACTCAGGTAGAGGGTCAAGAAGGACATACAGTCAGACTGTTGCCGGTACCATCAGAATTGGAACTGTGCGCTTTCTGCTGAATATGGGGATAGAATGCTTATGGGATTGTCCTGAGTTCTGAGATTTGTTTATGCATACTTTTATGACTTTTTAATGACATAAACTTTTTTGCATAATGAACTTTAAGGGGTTTAATTTGTTTCATTGAAGAGCATATAATAACCTAGTAAATTTCAAAGTGTTTTCTTCTCCACAGGTGTATGGTGAAGAGATTGCAAGTAAAGTTCTGTTGTTGGCTGGTCTTGAAAAACTTGCACACTCACAGCTGCACTCTTGGAACCGAATACAAGTCATGCTTCAGAGGACCTTAGGGATAGCGACTTACCTAAAATCGGCAGTGGTGTGAAGTTTGAAGCTAGTTTGTTGTTGATCTTATTGTATCTTTTTGATGTTACTGAAATTCTTGAGACAAGCAACAGTGTATTGTGTATATAAATGCAAAATGTGAATATAAGGGTTAGTTATTTAGATCCTTTATGTAACCGTTGAGTATTAATTTAATAGCTTAGTGTGACTGTTGAGTTGTACTAACTTAGGATACAAAAACTAAGCTCGGTTTCATGTCAGAAGTAGCTTTACTGATACATGCTGATTATTTCTGATCCATAAAGGCCATTTTATTGATGATTCACAAAAGATTACTTAGCATCTGTCAAAGGAGGGTTAAAATCAGTAGGGTTGCCAAGTTGGCACATTTCATGGTAACACTTATTGCAGGCCTAGAACATTTGTCTATTGTCAATCATCACGGATGTCAGCACTAGAAATATACCCATGTTTGCTCCGTCTTCCTCCCAAGGTGTTAACTTGTGTGAATGTAAAGCTTTATCTTTCCTCAGATAGTTCATCGTAGTAACTTGGTCTGTTATTGTGCATACTAGTATAACTATTCTCGCAGATATTCTAGTATTTTCCTGACTTTACTCCATGCCAGCAGATACACACATCATAATACCTCATATTTCTTTATAACATCTAGATTGCTTATAAATTCAGTTATATTGCTTCAGAATAAAAGAAAGTTGGGATAGGTTGAACAGGGAAATAGATTATTGTGGGCATTTCCTTTTTGAAAAAAGTAACGAGAAAGTTGCTTAAGAACACCTCAACATAGATAAGTTATGGGTGTGACACTCTCCCTCTCTCTCCCTCACCCTCTCCCTATCTCTCTCTCTCTCTCCCTACTCTCTCTGGGACACGGACACACACACACACACACACTGGTAGATGTAATTTATTAGGCATGTGGCGCAGACACCAGTTAGGCATGTGGCACCTACACCAGTTAGGCATGGGGTGCAGACACCAGTTAGGCATGTGGCGCAGACACCAGTTAGGCATGTGGCGCAGACACCAGTTAGGCATGGGGTGCAGACACTAGTTAGGCTTGTGGTGCAGACACCAGTTAGGCATGGCGTGCAGACACCAGTTAGGCATAGGGCACAGACACCAGTTAGGCATGGGGCGCAGACACCAGTTAGGCATGGGGCGCAGACACCAGTTAGGCATGGGGCGCAAACACCAGTTAGGCATGGGGCGCAGACACCAGTTAGGCATGGGGTGCAGACACAGCTAGGCATGGGGTACAGACACAGCTAGGCATGGGGTACAGACACAGCTAGGCATGTGGCACCTATACCAGTTAGGCATGTGGTGCAGACACCAGTTAGGCATGTGGTACTGACATCAGTTAGGCATGTGGCGCAGACACCAGTTAGGCATTTGGTACATTTTTTTCTGCCCTTTAACTTCTAATGGAGCAAAGGCCCTCAGCCAGCTCAACATTCTAACTATTTTTCCATGTTTCCTCCTATCTGATGTCATTAAAAGCAAAAATATAAATCTCTCTCCATTTCAGTAATTCTGTCTGTCATTGTTGTCAAGTATGTCGTGCTGTTTGTCTGTTTACATTCAACAGTTCCAGACTGATAATCTCCATTTTCCAGTTTTATTTCAGTTTTCTCACAATTCTCTTCATATTGTGGCTGTAATTTCTCTGCAGCCCCCACAATGAAGGTTGATTAAGTGTACCACTGCTGTCTATGGGAATATTACATGGTGGGCCCCAGTCTCTTTCCCGACACGACTCTCGTACCATTGTCCGAAAACTCACAAAATTGTTAACCGCATTCACTAACCTGTCATTCATAGGGGAAGCACCTTGATGGAGCAACATGGCTAAGGTCATCTCATTGACTCTTGAACTGCAGAAACACTTTTGTGTGTGTTGAGCATGTGGCAGAATTCAAAATGGAAAATATCCTTGTCAGAGCAACATGCAAACATTTTTTGTTTTGTTCTGAGGCATTAGTCTTGCTGCAGAAAGCCTCTGGTGATTCCAAAATGAAGAAATGCTAGATTAATCTTTTCCATGTAGTAAAATAATGTTGGCAGTTTTTTGAAGAGACATATCACTTAACATTTACTTAAACAAAATCCAGCCCAGATCCGTAGCAACCCTGAAATCCTTGAAAATCCCTTGAATGACACAGATTGTGGATTCGGAAATCCTTTTGCAGCTAAAAGTTTGAGAAGGTGTTTTCTTTACGCTTGCTTGAGGCTAGTGATCATATAAACTTCCAGCGAGGATCAAACTCATAAACCCTGCTTTTTGAAACCAGTGCTCTGGCCACTGAGCTATAGATACTGTTTGTGGCAATGGATTTGTTGACTTGACATTTTAAAAGTATACTAAGATGCTCATCATAATCAAATGCCTTACTGACTGGTGGGGGCGATCATGCCTCTCCACAACTGTGTGTTTCAGTTCATGTGTTCACATCTCTTCATGCCATGACAAAAGATTTCCAGTCTTCTTGTGCTGGCTTCCTCTGTCTCTCTTTCTGCAGATCTTTCCAGTGGTCACAAGTACCAGTTTCCAACTTCTCATAATGTGACCAAACAAATTGTGACTGTCTCTTTCTGATGTAACCAGGTGTAACAACTCTTGCAGGACATAACAGTTAAAATATTCACACCAGAGTTATTGTTCACACTTGCTGATCATTCACATTGGACATGCCCATTAGTGCTAGTATGTCTACAGTATCTCCCTCAGAATGTAGCGAATTATATCACCAGTTCTTTGTTGGTTAACTATTATTTTTTGGTTGTATAGTATTCATATCTGGCAGCACCCCATTTGGCATGAAGTTTTTGCTGTCTTCTGCTCAATCATAAACTCATCATGTCTTTTTGAGAGCACTGAGAACACCAGCTTTTCCTGTAGCTACTGTGGCCCTGCCTGCTAGCCAATATGAGCTCACCCTGTCTTGATCTTCTTAAGCATTTTCATTATCACATCCTGTGATGCTCGGAACAAGTGAGATTCAGACTTCATTATAGGAGTTTTCTCGATGATCTCCAAACACAACTATGACATTGATATGTTTAGATTAAGGATATTTAATGAAAACAATATGATTGTTGACTTAAACACATTGATGTCCACTCCCACGTTATTGTACCACCTGCTTATGTGATCAAGTTCTTTGTGAAGGCCCTCAGCAACCTGCTTCTGGTTTCTGCTATGATGGCACACCAAAAACATAATGTCCTTGAAAATGCCCCCATGATCTGGTGAAAATGTTGAGAAGTACTGGAGATAAAGGTGAACTTGCAGCAGACTGGAGTGTATAGTTAGTGTCCAGCAACTACTGCTTGAAGAGAGCCATGGAAATCTAGTTAATGATGAATGGACTGAGACTGAGATCAAGAAACTGACTCACCAAGAAGTCAAATGATACCTTGTTTTACACGTATCCAAATCACTTGCAGCAGCACAAGTCTCCATGCTTTAGTAGAATCCCTGGTATACATCAGAAGCAAAGATTGCTGCATCTCCCATGACTCTGTTTTAAGCTTGATACCATGGTAGTTCAAATTCTGACATTTGGCAGCAAGTTCTTGTACTGTCAGGTAAAATAGGCTGTGAGTTTTTATTAATATACTAAAAAGAAATTATATGAATGATTAACATCTGCAGATTCAAAAATAAAAGTTGGGGGAGGGGGGGGGGAGTAAAGTGTACACTGTAATTATTGATATTATATGGTAGACGAGCAGACATTCTAGACCAAATTGGCAAACAAAGAAGCATGACAATGAGATTACAGAATAATAACTCAAAAAGCCTTCAAAATAAAAGGATGTCTTTTCTTTTCCAAACTAGCAGTAAAACGTAAAGAAGAGTCACACTTTTCAGCAGCAAGGGGCATTGGTACTCATGAAAAATGCTATGAGGGACACAATAGCCCAAAAGTAAAAGCAGGAGTAGCTCAAATGGAACACATTAAAGCGAAAATGGCAGCATCACTTTGTTGAAATTACAGAATAGCTGGAGAAAGTTAACATTCGTGATGCAAACCAAAGAGATTAAAAAAAAGAAGCAGCACCAAAATGACACCAATTGTTACCAAAGCCCTTGAGAAACTTAAAATGTGGACAGAAGAAGAAATGCGGCGGCACAATACATATTTCACGACATGGCACTCGAATGAAAGCACAATAGAATTCATCTGAGAAAGGCATAAAGCAGCACAAACATCACACATACTGGCAATAATCAAGAAGACGACCCAGAACCTCCGCTAAGGACAGTCATTAAGGTTTAACCGACATCATGACACACGCACCAGCAGACATGGACCACCGCCAGATCTCACTCATGTGAGTGTTCGTGGCAAGGCGCTCTCGAGGCCGACCCAATGACCTTGCTTCGACTGCTAGACTGTTTTTTTGGGACCCGTGTCTTCTTTTCGGTGTTCGTGGTCTGCTCTATTACCATTTCTCTGCGTTCTTTCGCCGAGGCTTTTGACTACCAACTGACTTTTCCGTGTTCTAGGCCGCGTCGGTCGGTTTGTGTGTGTTGTGCCCCATGACCTCTTTCAATGTTAGTGCTTCCTGGGCAGATTATATCGCATCTAGGACCTTCCACTTCGCACCTGTCTTCAGAGCACGCTGGACAGCTGCTACTTTGAGGTCTGAGGACTCGCGCAGCATCATCGCGAGTCTCACCTTGCCAACTTTAAACTCTTTTGTTATCGACGTGAATGGGAGTACCAACAGCCTGTTTACAATACAGAGCCACACCAGTCAGGTAATGCGAAGCTGCAAGCCATTTCCTCATGGCGGTGTTGATTTTTTCTCCAGCACCTTCACTGTTTTAATACTAACCTCTTAAACAAGCAACGACCAGAGGAGCTTAGGGATCAACATAAACTGGAGGCACCAGACCTTGAATTTTTCGATCAGCCTGCTTTGCTCGATTGCACGCAGACCTGTTGTCACTGACTCATGTATGTGCCGAACTTCCACTCTATCGGATAACTTAGAATCGTAGACGCG